GATGGAGGCGACTTCGTCAAATCTTGAGGAAATCAAAGCATTAATGGATAAGTTTTCTGCTTTGTCAGATATGCTAGTAAATTGGGGCAACAAAACGCCGGGATGGTGGATTCACTCTCAGGGGGTGAGGCCACCAGAGAATCCTAGAATCAAGTTGGTCCCCGAGGAGGTCCCTATCAGGGTTCTAGGAGTAATTCTCACAGCACAAGGAAAAACGGTCACAAATGATATATGGATTTCTTCCCCTGCGATAGAAAAAATGAGACTATGGAAAAATAAACATACATCAATTTTTGGCAGAGCAATAATAATAAACAATGTGGTTTTAGCCTCGATCTGGTACAAATCCTTTCTTTGGACATTAAACAAGAAACCAGTCAAAGAACTACAAAGGCAGCTAATAGCCTTCCTATGGCGGGGAGATCATGAAACACCACATGTGATTCCAAGAGTGGTTTGGACAACATTAATTCAACCAAAAAATAAAGGAGGATTGGGTATTATCGACCCTAAAATTCAAGGTCAAGCATTGTCCCTTCAGGTAATGAAAAGGTTAATTCTGACTATGGATATTCCATGGAGGGACCTGGCTTTAGAACAAATACGTAGATTGGCACCTAGAACAATCAAGGAAGTACACCCACTGGAATGGGTTGAAGATAGATTTTGGACTATTCCTCGACCCCATTTAAACCACAAAGGAGATGGAGCAAGAGGAGCGGTCAGAAAGGATTTAGTATTGGACAGCTTCTGGGCAAGCTTATTGAAAACTTGGCGGGAACTACTATTGCCAAATAAAACTTCTTCATCAAGATATGAGGAAGTATTGAGGCAACCACTGTTTGGGAATAGATGGCTCACTGATCAACAGAGTAGAGTCTTTATCAGTTCAGAATCTCCATGGGCTACGTGGGTAAAACATGGTATTTTAAGAATCAAAGATTTATGGGACCAGGAGACCCAAAACTGGAAGACAGTGGATAAACTCAGAAATGAGATTAAATATGCACACAAATTACAGGAAAATATGGAGAATTTAGTATCTGCTGTTCCTCTGGCATGGAGAATGGCATTAAAAAAATGACTGGTTTTTAGGACGACAGATTGGGTGTGTATGAATATGCAGGATGGGATAAAGACAGTGGGTCAAATCTTGGAGGTTCACAAAGAGGGAGCATTGGTGAATGTATTTAAGATCCGCAAGGATAATACGATCCCGAATAAGGATCAGGATAAAGTATCATTTTCCCTTTTTTATGAAATGTACAGAATAAGAACCTTATACTGTACCTCAACGAAAGAATGGACAATGTTTCTCCCACATATTCCTATTCTGGATCTACCACTAGATCCGGACGAGTGGGTCTGGCGGATGAACAAGAGGAGTGAACCCCTAAGATTACAGTCCTTGTCAGTTAAAGCATCTTATCGATTACTGCGTCCTAAAATAGAAGTGCTTGATATTATAAGAGAACGGTGGTGTAGGCATCTTAACATAGATGTGGATTTGATTAAGCAAATAAGATGGTTTCAAAGTTTAAAGGAAAGGCCTGCCAAGTTTGCATCCTTACAATGGCAGATAATACATAGGTGTTTACCAACAAATGATTGGTTAATAGATCATTCTTCACTGGAACAAAAAGGTGTAGCATTACCTTGGTGTATCTCCTGTGTCCAGGCTTTTCCTAGTAGGAAATTAAGAGAAACAATATAACATATCTTCTTGCAATGTCTGAGCTCTGTTCTGACATGGCGACGGTGGGACTATGTGTGGAATAGGATTACGGGTCTAGAATGGCCATGGGATTGGAGAGCAATACTGGAATCCAGTATTAATTGAATTATCACTATTTCAGCAAAATTTATTTCAATTAGGCAGAAAAGCAGTTTTATGGGCTTTATGGCATAAAAGATGTGTATTAACAATTGAAAAAGTAAGGATGGAAGGAAAAGAAACGACAGAGGTAATCCAACAATTTATTTAGACAGAAATCAGAGATCAATGGGAAAGGTGGAAAAACAAACTTTTACAATTAAAACAAAAACAAGACATTAAGCAAAGTATTTTTGAATTCGAATTGGAATGGCTAGAGGATGTGTCAAGGGAGAAATTGGGAGAGGTAATTTGGCCAGGGAAGGATGAGGACCAGGTATTGTTCAGGAGGGACTATCGGATAAACTTTTTTAACTGGTTTGACATCCAACCGGGAGCTTCTTTGAGATCACCAGCTTATTTTCCAGACCCTTTTCCTCAGTCTGAGCTTGCTTTGGTAGATATGGACTGGTTTGGGGGAAGGGAAGAAGGTTAACGAGAGAGAATAAATAGTGGAGAATTTAGTCAAAGGATGCTAGATAGATCACTTTTATTTGGCGGTCAAAATTTTGACTGAAGAGGCATCCTTTGGTGGAAAAGTTGAGGAAGCAATATTGATTGATCAATGACAGATGTAAGGGACGCTGGACCCGTTTTCCAGCAGGTGCAGCACCCCACCAATAGAATGGAGCCCCCGGAAGGATAGATAGGAGGGTATGCTCTTACCATCCCCCCTATCTGTCATAGACGGGGTTTAAAAAAAAAAAAAAAAAAAAAAAAAAAAAAAA